GCAACTGACCGAACCTCTCCCTCCAAAGATCCAATGATCCAATGATCGACATGCCTGCAGCTTTTCCTTGTCTTTTGATGATGTTGCCGGACCTTAAGTCTGAAACTTAGGGACCACCATGCACAGTTACAACCAGTAACTAGGCTTCAAAACAACATACAAACTCTCACTGGATCATAACTTGAAGCTATCTAAACCGTTGCCCTACATACCATATCGAGTAATGAACAGGACCGCCTTCGCCAGTGATACATATATGCTTGAAAGCTTGAAAACTCAGCACAGCTTTCCAGGGACTTGGCTGACTGCCTGACCGGAAAACCTCCAAGGCGGAACGTCAAAAATGTCAGGATAGTAACACATCCTATGAAGCAAAGTTGGCACTTCAAGACTCTCGACTGATCCAAAAATCTTCTATTGAGTGAAACTTTAGCCTCCATCACTTGTGATTGCTCCAGCCGTTTTCTAGTGATCAGTCTGGGTTACCCTTTCTTACAAAGCCAGACACCATGGGGTTAAGGAAAAGGCTTGGAGCCAGCCTGGGTTCAACATTGGATTTGGGAGCAAACATGTCCGTGAAACAAAATTGCAACGGATCCAACTAAATTGGACAATTGAAGAAACACTGTGTCATCATCACAAGCACCACTCAAGTAGGTGCACAGCCCAACCACTGACGAAAGCATGTGTACACAGCAACAACGGTGTGGTGGTTCTATTCTAAATTGCTGAGGCTGGTTTGGTGAGGATTTAAGGAAAGCAAACATGAACTTTCGGATTTGCACTCTCGGATTTACATGTCATACATGTTGTTGGTATGTTTTGCATGTTGGAGACGTTATTTACTTTGGGACTTTGGAACTCGAAAATCCTGATCTTTGACCTCTACATGGTTACACCCCGTTGCACTACTTATACAGGTGTTCACCCAGGCATTTTGACCGTAAGTACTCTCTTCTCTGTGTGTGAAACCTTTGGAATCACAAGGAACTGTATGGCTAGAGTTTTCTGGTTTTCTGCTTCTCTTGTTGATGTTTTGTTTTCGCAGGAGGGGACAGAGCTCTCTGATGCAGATGCGTACCTGCACTTGCAGTTGTGAATGTTCTAATTACAATCCAGTTTTAGAGGTGTCTAGGCTGCTTAGATTTCTGAGGTCGGAAGACTTGCACGTGAAGTCATACGCCGGATCGTCGCCTTTGCAGCTTTGACACTTTGGGATCTTGGAGACCTTTGAGATCTTGGATGATCATGGAGGTTTTTATGTTTGGGCGACCTTGTTGCATATGAAACCTTCACCTGTCCATTTAAGCAAACTGCATTTTGTATGAACTTTTGGCCAGAGGAGTCCACAGCGGACGGAGTAGGCTTATGTTGATTAAGACCTGACGACTTGGCCAGATTTTGAGCAGGCTGAATGCCAGGAGTAGTCTACAGCGGACAAGAGCAGCCCCCATTTTGGCATCCATTGCGATCTGTCCTGGCCTTATTTGTCCTCCCTTTCTCTCTCTCTCTCTCTGTCTCTCTCTCTCTCTCTCTCTATATCTCTCCCCTTCTCTATCGCTCCCCTTGCTTTTACCTCTTTGGGGCTTCCCCGGATGTAATACCCAGGAGCCCCACTCTCTACGGTGCATCCCTAGACACTCGTCATGGCTGGGATCACCTGACCTCGGTCGTTCTTTTTTTTTCGCTCGATCGTTCTTCTTTCTTTCTTTCTTTCTTTCTTTCTTTCTTTCCTTCTATGTACCCAGAAGTCAAAAAGATCCCAAGAGCGCAAAACGCTGCGTGCAGGCTTTTTCCAAATGCGCTTTGATTGATGCTGGGGTCCTCCCCCAGACCCTGTACCTTTTGGAAAATGCCCTGGGCTTCGCAGGGGGACAAGGGTGTGTCAGGCAGTAGGGTTCGCCCACCGCTGCCAAACACCCGAGCGTCCCCTGGTCCTCCCAGGGCCAATGGGCACCTGTCAAGGTGCCAGGCGACAGGGTCGGGAGGACAGCCCACCGGATCCGGTCACGGGATCTTGGGTGGGCACCCAAGAAAAGCCAGTCGAAGACAAAAGTCTTGTGGCAAAAGGAAAAACAAAGAGGGTCTCCGGGGCCGGTAGCCGGCAATCTAAGGAGAACCCTTCAAAGTCCGGATGAGTCAATTCATCAGCCCAGGTATTGTATTCCCTGGGGACGTGATTCGGGGCAATGCTACAGCCCTCACAATGAAGGAAAAGAACCAGTTCCATCAGCAGCGCAGCCGAGTAAGGTTTCTTGGCCGAGAGGTTGAGCCGGCTAAAGATGTTGCCCGAGGAGTTCCAAAGCCACGATGCGCTTCTGCGGGTTGCCATCCTTGAGTGCCCAAGGGTGTGCGTCCGCTGTGATGGCATAATGAAACCATAGGACAGTGTCCTTGGTGGGGTTCGGGGAGGCTGAGCACCAGCCCCGAACATAGGCTTCACCAGTCCGCGATGCACTGGCGTCACTGCATCCCCACCAAGGGGACTTCGGCAGGTATTGTTTGAAGGGATGCGTGAAGAGCTCCTTCAGCAAAGAGGCCAGCATACGGACCACCTTGGTGGCCCATGGTCCTGACCGCCATCTTCCAGGCAGAGGGGCTGGAGCATGGACTTGGTCAGGGGGCAGCACGCTGTTGCCCATTGGATCCGTCCCATTGCCTTTTCAATGGCCTTTGCTGACATGGGGGATCCGTTGGCAAGTTCCTCCAAGAGTTCCATGACCTTGATGCGCTTTGGAGCCGCCATCTGTACTCGAGGTATGGTCGGGTGGATCACGAACCCGAGCCATGTGTTGATTTCTGCCAAGTGAGTCTTCTTCCAGCTGAGAGGAGTACCCAACGCCACTAGTGTGCCCAAAAGAGCCGCAGTGAATTGCGGTCCTGTGGGCAGGCGAAGTAACCAGCAGAAATCGTCGACGAAGACAAAACCCCAATCAATTTGGGGAAATAAGTAGTAGAGGATCCGTAGGAGCAAGGCCGCCATTCTGCCCTGTGCTTGGGGGCTGGCACTGACCTCCATGGGGTCCCGGGGGTGTTCCAGGAAGGAGTATCCCACCGGTGGGTGACACTGTGAGAGGCCTTGGTATGCTAGTGAGGTCAGGTACATCTGGCGTAGCACCAGCATGCTGTCATTGTCCATGTCAGTCTGCTCCTCCGCGGTGTTGGAGGGGAGGCCCCACACGTGCTGTTCACTGCGCCCCCTCACTGGCCTGGGGGCGTTTGGTTTGGTTCCCGTCCAAGGAGCCCGCATCATCATTGCCTGCGTAGAGCAGAAGAATGGTTGGTTTGGCCTCTGGTGGGAGTGGACGCAGGTCCCCAGTCTGTCTGGGATGTCAGCCATCCGTCCCTGGGCGGGTTGCTGGGTTCCCGCGGTCGATGGAGTGGCCTCAGTGTGGGCAGGTGTCCTTGGTAGACGCCCGGATTTGGGTGCCGCTGCTCGGTGCGCCTTGTGAGGCGGATCCGGGCCCAGGGCACTTAGTCGAGGCCTCGGTTCATTGGAGGGTGGTGTGGATGGTACAGGGCCCGAGGCACCTGGACCATTTCCGTCCTCCCTGTGGACGCGGTTCAGCTGAGGACGCAGGTGGAGCAGGGCCATGGGCACCTGGACCAACCTGGCGTCACTTGGGGGCATGGGCATTCGTCCGGGGTGTGCTTGTCGGGGACGCATTGCACACCCCCTTGGCGGACCGGACAGTTGTGGGAACGGCCAGGTGCCCGTCAAGTGGTAGTCCCGGCAAAAGGCTTCCCCTTTGGGGTCCTTGAAGGCCCATGCGTCTGGCCACTGGCCCTTGCCTTTGCCCTTTGGGCCTTGCCCTTACCTTGGCCTCGTCCCTTTTCGGCCTCGGTCTTTGCCGCCTTTGGCAGGTTTGCCCCACTGGGTTTGCCTGAGCCATGGCGGCTCACGAACCACGACGGGGGGGAGGTCACCCTTGGCAAAGCACCGCGTGCACTTGCCATAGCCCGCGGGATTGGCCCAATACTCCCCTGGTGTCAGCACGGTCATCTGGGCGCTCCTTGGGCGCCAACCGCAGCCCAGGCAGGTGGGCACGAAGTTGCTTCTGTGACCCAAGCCCTTGTCTTCACCGTCCACAACATCCCAAGAATCAGTGGTGCCAGGGGTGACCTGGAGAGTCCGCGTCCAGGGGCGGGGTAGCAGCCATGGAGCGTCGTGAGGATTGTGGTGGGGAGTTCGGGGGTGCATCGATGCACCACCTCCGTCACGGGGTCGTCCCAGTCCCCATGGTTGAGGTCCTCCCTGCGCTCCCTGCCCAGTGTCATCTTGATGGAGTTCACCACGTCGAAGGGCGTCCTTGAGCCATCTCGCAGGGCCCGATCACCTCCCGAGGGGCGGGATCAACCCCGCAAAGTCCTTGCTGATCGTGGGGAGGAGGTAGTCCATGCCCTCAAAGGCCTTTAGCACCGAGAGCTTACGCACCGTGGAGACAAACTGCAAGTACCAGGGTGCTCCAGAGAAGCTGTACTTCGGGCAGATCAGCGGCACTGGCTTCGTGCGGACGCGGGCTCACCATCGCCGACTGTGGGAGTTGGCCCACCAGCTTCGAGCGCACTTCTGGGAACTGCTTCAGCGCGTCCAGTGGGATGGTGATCCGCTCATCACAGATTGCCCTGAAGCGCATTGCCTCTTTGCTGTCGTGCACTGGGGCCACCGGCATCTCCATCACTGGCGCGGGGCAGTTGGTCAGGAAGGTCTTGGTGGCCAGGAATGAGCCCATCTCTCGGAGCACCCGGCGCCATTCATCCTTGTCCGTCGGCTTGTCCAAACCCAGGGCTGTTAGAAAGGAGCTGGCCTCCTTGCGTGCCTCGGTGCGCTTCAAGTTCCGGGTCTGAGTGGCGGAGCCCGGAGCATCTTTGCCCCGTTGTTTGGACTCGATGGCCAGGGGAAGACTGCACCACAGGCTGTAGATGTACTTGAAGGTGTACCGCATCGAGTAAATGTGGATGAGGGACTTCAAGTCCCACGTGCGGCTGAACCATGTCCGAGCCGAAGGAACTTGGGTGAGTCCGCCTCTCCAATGCCCGGTACCTGTCCACCTCCTTGGCTGATAGTGCACCAGGTTTGGGCTGTGCCCATTCCGGGAGGGGCGGACTAAACTCAGGAACCCGGCGCCAGACTCCACCAAACATTCGAAGTTCGCCCCGATGTACCTTCAGGCCCAAAGCAGCATGGCCAATTTCTTCGCCTCCTCATCCATTTCGTTGAGGGTCGCCATGCCCGGGCCGGTCACCGCTGGGCCAGGGGCACCAGGAGTTGAAGCCTCCCCAGGTGCCGCGGTAGCCACCGTGTGCTTGAGATCGGGCATTTCCTCCAAAAGTTTGGGGTGCTCAGCCCATGGATTCTGGCCATCTTGCAGTGCCCTCATAGTAATAGCCGGAAGATAGTGGCGAGGGGTCCGGGACCGCATGCCAATCCAGGGATGCCGTAGGACAAAATAGGCCCCTCTCCAGCTTGTGCTTGAGCTCAGTCGGCCACGCCGAGATCTCCACTGGGTTGAGGGCAAACTGTGTCACGAATGCCGTACCCTGGTCTTGGATCTGTTTGTTCGCCGCTTTGGCCTTCTCCATGGAGGTGATGGCCGCCTGAAGGGAAGCCTCTGCGCTGCCGGATGTCTCCTCCAACATCCGTTTCTTCAAGGCGGCTTTGAAGTCCACGAGGTTGACCTTCTGTAGGAGATCGGAGCCGGAGTTCCGCACCTGAGCCACATGGTCCGCCTTCGCCTCGCGCTCAGCCTCCTCCGATTGGGCACGCTCCGCCTTGAGGTCAGGAGTCAGCAGCTGAGTCCTTGGAGGGCCTCGGACTGAATGCGAAGGGCCTTGGCCGCCTCTGGGTGGAAGATCTGGAAGGACTGAGATGGTTGCTGCTCCTCGAGTTGTCTGCGATGGGCCTCCGTTGTCGCAGTGGCATCTTCTTCATAGTCGGCTGACAGGATTTCCTGCCGGATGTGGACCCTGCAGACAGATGGGACCTCGTCCGCAAAGGTTCGCTCTTCCTCAGTGCAAGTGGCCGCCGGGGCCTGGGCAAACTGGCATCAATGGAGTGTGACAGCTTGAAGTGCCGCTCCGCGTCTGGGTCCATGCCTGTCGCCTCAGGGCCAAGGGCACCTGGGGTAGACTGGGCAGGAGCAGCTCGCCGCCAAACTGGCCGGCCCGCCTCGTAGAGCAACGTCCAGGTCTGGTCGCCGACCTCCATGATGGACGTAGGCCGCTGGTACTCGATGGCTTGGTCGCGTTTACAAATCCAGCACCTGGTTGCACTGTCCGGCCAGGGTGACATGCATTTGCCACACATAGAGTGGAAGGGAACGTCCCCCGCAGGCCGGTGGAGGCCTCTGTGCTCAGTCAGGCCGGACTTGTCGGAGGCCTTCTGATATTTCTGTGTCCAAACCCTCTCCTGCATGGCCAACTTTGGAGGGGGATGTACTGCTCGATGATGCGAGTGACCACTGGCGTTGTGAGGGGGTAGCCCGTGAACTGGTCAAAGAGCTGGACCATCTCCTTCTCCGTGCACGAGGTGAGGAGCCCCGCCAAGTGGCCCGGGATGGCCGGAAAAGCGTCCGGGAACATGGCGAACCGGACGTGGTTCGCAGGCTCCCGCACCAGTATAGGCATGGGGTCGCTGCTGAGGCCCTCGTGAAGCCCGGCAACGTAGGAGCCTTGGATGTGGGTTCCTCCATCGGCTGTGGAATCGGTCTCTTGCTCGGCCGTGGAGGCTCAGGGACTTGGTCCCGCGCTGGAGGTGTGGAAGGCTCCGGAGCAGCCGCCATGGCGCCGAGAGGGTCTACCGAATACCCTGCCTGTGCAGGGGGCGAAAAACCTAAGCCCGCGCGCTCACTGCCGTCCTCCTCCATCTCACTGCCGTCAGGCGCGGCTGGTCGTGGCTCCACCGAGACAGGCCAGGCCACTGGTGGTTCCGCCATTGCCGCCATTTAAAAGCGCAGGCTTGGCCTCCGCTGCAGAAGGTGTAGTATAGAGCTCGAGGTCGGCGCCACCACCGCAGTAGTCGCAACCCTCCCCGCAGCTGGGCCAGAGAAACCAGGTGCAGCGGGAGTGTCGCCAGCGCCACCGTCAGCAGGGTCGTTCAGCCCCAGGAGGTCCACGCCCATGTCCGCATCTTCTTGGTTGGCGATCTGGACCTTGAGGTCTTGCATGTGGCGCTCCAACTGGCGAATCTGCTCTTGAGCGTCGAGCTCGGAGACCAGGACAGGTTCCCCAAAAACAGCAAGTCCACGAGCTCCTTCCGCCTCCGCATGACGGAGGGCTGCAGACGCAGCATCAGCTGCTTGGTCCAAGCTCGCCAGGCTCAGGCTACTGGCCGTAGCCGAATCCCCATCATCTGGTTGGGCGTCTCTGAAAGTTTCGATCATCACATACTCCTCTTCCATCGGGTGCGCCATTGCGTCGTGTTCAACCAAAACCTATGTACTAGGGAGTTTTCTTCAGAATTCAGGTGCAATCCTGCGAACGATTGCCACCAACTTGAGCCAAAATGTCCCGGTGGGACATTTTGTGAACTTCAGTGAACATAAAACTTGCACCCGCAAGCTACATGCAAGTGTGAATTTCCTTCTTTCCTTCCTTCCTTCCTTTTGGGAGTTTGTGGATGCAAAACATCCAGGCGCCCCACTATTTATGGTGTGTCCCTGGACGCGTTTGTCGCAGCGGGAACACCTATCTTTTTCTTTTCTTTCTTCCTCCTTCTCTCTCTTCCTTTTTTCGTCTTCCTGCGTCATAGCTGGGAACCCTTCTCCTTTGTTTTCGTGTGTCCCTGGAGGGTTGGGTCGTAGCTTTCAGCATCATCGTGTCCACACCTCTTCTTTCTTGCCCGTCCCCTCCTTACCTTCCCTTGCGCGCAGTGCGCTCACAAACAAACGAGGCGTTTGCAACAGGCTCTTCAATGAGGTTTGGCTGCTCACTGGTTTGTCCCCTTTCATCTGGTTCCTTTTCAGCGGCCCCCCACATACTGTCTCCTTCTTCTCTTCTCTGCTTTCCTCTCCTTTCCTAGAGGCTTGTTATGTGTATATAAATCAGGTTACGCCGGACATACTCGGCTCTTTGTGTGTGTTTCCCAACACACAGTTCCTTACGGAACACACTTAATTTGCCGTACGGCAGTCCTGCTCGGAATCAGTCATTTTTTCTTCTTTCCGGTTGCGTTTCTCTTCCCAGCTTTTTTGCCTTCCTAGAGGCTTGTTAGGTGTAAAACAGGCTGCGCCGGACATACTCGGCTTTTTGTGTGTTTCCTGACAGTTCCTTACGGAACACACCTAATCGGTTTATGTTTTCAACTCACATGGACGATATGAATCCACAACAATCCTGACACTGTGTCCCAACTAGGCCAACCTCCCTTCTTTCTGGCCTTCGGCTAGGCCGGCCAGAAGGCGCCAAGGAATGCTTCTAAGGCAGGTGAACCATGGTCATGCAGTATCAGAATGTCACATTTGAAGAAATCATATCTACAGTAGATATGCTTTGAGTTTTGACCATTCGCGTCAATCACAAGGCACTCAAGTGCTTCTGTTTGAAGCTTGTATTGAAACATTGACTGTTCAACGTCGAAGCTTTTCAATTGGGCATCTATCTTGTGTTTGCTGGGTGCTCAACTGTCCAGTACCGGGCATTCTCGCGAAGATTGCCCAAAGGCACCTTGGTTCAAGCACGTCCTGAGAATGAACAATCCAATCCAATACTGTGAAAACGTTGCTGTAAGTCCATGGAAGGCCAGATATCAAGTATCCTCCAAACTGTTGAGTATAAGTAGAAGCGTCAAACTAAGATGTGTGTATTTCCAGCTGAAACAATGCAAAGGCATTATCCTTTTGCACTTAGCCCGGTACGGACAACGGATGTTTGCCCGTATGGCAGGTCAACTGGCGTTGGAAGTGAATGCGACGGCCAGCAGAAGTTTGAGGTGAGCGAGCAGCAAAAACTCCCTCTACCGTAGCCTTAGCATGATCTCTTTCCGAGTTATCATTGCATGTCATTGTTGATGTTCGCCACACCCTTTTCACAGTCCTTACCATACCAAAATTGGGAAAAGGTTTGGGAGGGCGGCAGTGTTAATGTGTGATTTGTTGCGCCTTGTATTGAATGTTTTTCTTGTTTCCTTGTGACGCGTTGTGATGGTCTCAAGTCCACTTTTCGTGGCAGGTGGCAAGATCGGAGCCGCTTTTCTTCGATGCGCAGATGTCGTGAGAGGTGCAGCACTTTGGACTTGGTGATGGTCGTTGGCGTAGTTCGTTTTCAGAATTTGTTGGAAGTATAGCGCGAAAGCATGCGAAAGCTTCGTTTTGGCATCTCGAATGTGTCTTTGGAAACGCTTTTGAAGTGCAAATTTCGTGCCTGGTAGACCAAGTGCAGAATTCGTGGCAGGCGCAGCACTTGTGATCCTCGAAGTGCAGATTTCATGGCAACCGCCAAACCTTTAAACCTCGAAGTGCAAAATTTCGAAGGCGCAGCACTTTGGAATGCAAATGTTGTGGCGCGGGCAGCACTTTGTGAACCTCTTGTTCAGGTATTGATGTTGGAGGTCATCTATATACAGTAATTTGTACAACTTTAATATTTCAAGCAGAATCTCTAGCCAAACCTCCACGGCCTACACCCTTGGTGAATTGGCTTCTCACGACTATGGCAACGCTGAGGCCTCTCCGACGGTATGCAATGTGTCGTACAATGGAATTGCCAACCTTGCTCGTCCAAAGAACAACCGTGCAGCATGACTATGCTGTGTTCGAATCATGGTCATTGAGTGGACTGTCCGACTTCTGGTTGGCATTTCTTGGGAGCCAGGCGTCTCTGCCAAGCCTCTTAGCCAATCAGCTGCGCACATGCCAACCTCTGAAGAACCCAATATCTCGTGGAGTCCAAATGGCCAAGATACCATGATGCCAAGGCCAATCATACCAATACCACCCCAAAGGATCAAACCTGCCTCACGTTCTTCCCGTGCAAGTCCGGCCCATGCGAGGTGCCTGCACCAGCTTGTCAAGTGTACGCGAGGTGAACAACCAACATCCTCTTCAAAGTCTGAAGCTCGCGCTGCTTCTGCGGCAATGCAAGGAATGCCAGGTCTCCAGCTGCAAGAACCTTTTATGTTTGCCAATACGCTCAACCTGCTTATGAAGTGCACTCTATGATCACCCAACACTCTAAGGACTCCACTAAACCTGCAAGAAGCAACCGCCGCTCCTTGGCCTCGACCAGAGAACTGTGGAAAACGTGTCTCACACCGACCAAATTAGCCGAGGGATCCACTGCTCTGTTCACCTCTTCCAGCTCCTGAGAAGACAAACTCTGGTGACACGGTCCGTCACAAAGTTGCACGAAAACCATGTGCAACACGTTGGGTGAAGGTGTTCGCTCACAATCAGGAAGTGAAGGAAACACCGGAAACACCCCGCTCTGCGTGTTCATGCATTTTGGTGTGTTGAGTCAGCGTCTTACAACAGCTCAGGTGCAAGACGTTGATGTAACACCCGCGTTGAGGTGCAATGGATGACAATGAATTGCTGATGACAACGCTGTGGAACCAATGACAATGTGATGAAACTGATGACAGTGTGTTGAAACTGATGAGGTATCATGATGTTGTGAATCAAGAATTCGCGCTTCATCAAAAGATTCGTCGATGACAATGAATTGCCGATGGCAACGTTGTTAAGCCGATGACAATGTTGAAACGATGATGATGGGTTGTGAAATTGAGAATTCATTGTGTTGTGAAAGCCAGGAGTAACTGTTGTGAAATTGAGAATGTTGTGCAAGGGATGATTAGTGGCTGATGCTGGCCTCGCACATTGCAAGATCAACCTGCTTTTTGTTGCAAAGGGTGTGGATTCGATTGCGGGGCGAGAGTGGGCTGAAACCTCACCACAAAGGTCTCAAGTCCTCTATGTGCAGCTTTTCGAGGAGGTTCGGTTCAGTGCAACCTGCCCAGTGCTCTTATGGTGCCTTCAAATCAGAAGCCACGCATGGACAAGGCGCTTGTCAGCACGTTGCTACCTTGCTCGTGTTACTTTACCTTATGCTACCGTTTGGATCGTTTGACCGTTCCTGAAAATAGTAGCAATCTGTGTCCTTTCAAGTCGGGCGGCGGATAGCAATGATCACCGTGTTTGCATACATATATCCAATTAATAAAGAGTCATGACATGTCATCAAAAGGTTTTGTAAGCTCTCAAACTATTGAATGACACCAGCCTTCATGCGTCTCCAGTCCTCCGACGATAGACTTTGAAGATTGCGCACATTAAAGGGCAAGGGCTCTTCGTCTGCTTCTAGCCTGGCTGGTGGAGACTTTTGGAAAAAATGGAAAGCGCTTGCAAAATCTTGTAAATTGACAGGACGACAGGATGCGGACTCTCTTCAGGTCCTTAACACACACAAGAACCATGTTGCATCTATGTAGGTACTGAGCTGGGGACAAAGTCATTCGATTAGCACTTGAACCCGTGCAACATGCCAGCTTCCAAAATCAGCCAAGAATGGAAAGAAAAAGGACGGGTCCGCCGGGTCCGCTCAGTCCGCTCGCATGACTTGTGTTGAACAAAGTTGGTTCAAAACAACCACGTGCTAGCAATCGCCAACACCATAGAAAATTTGTTATCCAGACTATCAGGTCCTGTAGTGCTGCACAAGGTCGCGCGCGATGCTGCAGCCTGCGCGTTAGCCTGACGCTGAAAAAGGATCTGTCAAATGGCCTGTTGCTGTTCGCTCAGAAACATCAAACAACATCTCGTGCAAAGTCTGTGGCTTTGACCTCAATAATGGAGAGTCATCCATGAGGGCTGAAGAAGGTCGTTCAGAGAAGGCAGAATTTCCTCAATGCATGTCACACCACAAGCTGCTTACTCCTCTTGCAGTGATGATGAAAGCAAAGAGACTGAGGCTTAACAAGTGCCCCTTGATGCCAAACCTGTCAGTAGTACAGTGGCCAAGTGCTGCACTCCCTAGGCCAGCTGCTGTTAATGCAAGCGCTGTGGAGGAAATGCTAGCTGCATGTCCTAGCCTCAGTTTCGATTCACGCTGCTTAGCTTCAGGTGAGCTCACGTAAAGTGAAGTGCAGACCAGGATGTTTGTGCACGGCTATTACTCTGCACAAAATGCTGACAAACTGCACTGGGTCTTTACTCGCGAAGACACCCGTCTGCTCTTGTTTGAAGGCAACTGCCTTCGCCGCCACATTGAGACAGAAAAAGTGATGGGCGCACGTTCCCATGATCAACTCTTGTTACAAAATAGAAGGTGAGCAGCTGGCCTGACTCACTGGAACCTGCCAAGCCAGATCTGTCTTGCAACGTTGGATTGTTGTTCCTGCCATTCCCCCATTGTTCGTGCCATCTCACTCAACTTAGCTTGTTGCCGCGTGTAAACCTGCAGCAGCTGCTAGCAAGGCAGCCTGATGCACCAAAAACCTTTTACATCTGCCGACACAATTCCCCCCGAGAAACTACAACCATTAAATGTGTATATATATACCATATTTATCATATTCCTAAATATATGTATATATGTATATGAGAAGTGAGGGGACGAAAGCCAGCCCCGTGCGGCCAAGCACTCACTTGCGCACCCCCAAATAACCTCACTTGCGCACTTTACCTCACTTGCGCACTTAGCACTCACTTGCACACTTTCAGGGGGAAAGTGAAGGTGAAAGGACATTCAACCACCAACAATCTATTGGGTGGGGGGGTAGGAGAAAATGAAAAGATACTCAGCCACCAAACAATGTAAGTTCTTGCACCTGACATGTAATTAGGTGAGGTTACTGAACACAACTGCTCATTAAAATTACATATCTTGTTGGGGTGAAGTGGGTGGGTGGGGGGGGGGGGGGGGGGGTGGGGGGGTTAATAACGTCTTTGTTGACATTCTTCCACGTGATGATCTTTATTGAATATGTGCTTCCAAAGAACCATGTGATACAGATGTTCTGTGTCTGATCTAGTTAGTTAGTCTGTTTGTTTGTTAAATAGATAGCTAGTTAACTAGTTAGCTAGCAAGCTAGCTAGTTAGTGAGTACTATGATGTTGTAGTAGTAGTAGTAGTAGTAGTCAGTAGTAATGGTAGTGGTAAAGGTAGTAGTAGTAGTAGTAGTAGTAGTAGTAGTCGTCGTCGTGGTAGTACTATTCGTCTGCGTCTTCGCGGTCGTCGTCGTCGTGGTCTTCGTCGCAGTAGTATGATGTAGTAGTAGTAGTAGCAGTAGTAGCAGTAGTAGCAGTAGTAGTAGGAGTAGTACTTGTAGTAGTGGTAGTTGTGGTAGTATAGTGGTAGTGGTAGTGGTAGTGGTAGTAGTAGTAGTAGTAGCAGTAGTAAGGAGTAGTAGAAGTAGTAGTAGTAGTAGTAGTACTAGTAGAAAAAATGCACAAGCGAGGTAAATTTGCAAGTGCACAAGCGAGGTAAATTTCAAGTGCACAAGCGAGTGCTCGCCCCCCCGTGCTGGGTCGGTATGTGGTCTAACTGACGAGTTGTGTTTATGGTTGCTGGTGAGGGCCAGAGAGTTGATGATGCATCAGATGCAAGCCTAACTTGGTAAAGCCTCACTCGCGTCATTGAGGCAAATTTTTAGGGTATACTTGGTCTCATCTCACCAATTTTTTCGCTCCCCACGCCCCCTATTGACTCACTTTTTCGCCTTGCAAACCTTCATTCTAGCCTTCGGCTGGCTTTCGTACGAAAAATATATATAATACTATATAATTCCAATGTATGGTCGAGTTTGACTACAGAATATGTTTTTACATAAGATATTTTATGTTTGAGTTGAGCCTCATGTGTGTGTGTGTGTGCGCGGTCTGTTTCAGAAGAATGGTCGGGCCTGGAGTCGTTGGATTTGAAGAAATGAAGGCTCGTTTCCGCCAACATAGATTGTGTTTTCAATGGCTATGAGTGGCCTTGAGTGAAACGACATTTTCAGGGATTCAGCAGCATTGCAATAGGCTGAGGAATTTAGAGTCACTGGAAGTAAGTTTCCCTATATACAAATCTAGCAACCAAATCATTAGTGCGAGGACGATATATCATTCGCTTCTCCCCAGCTTTATTGACATCTGCCTTGATATTCTACATGTCCATTCTGATGACAGGGGCGCTAACTGACGTTCTGGGGGAGCATGAGAAGCTGTGTTCATCCATTGGGGTGGATTAGATTGCTTGGCCTTTTCCATGATGATGATGATGATGATGAATGTTTGACTCGCTTAGTGTGGCTGATGGGTGCTAAAGTTTGATTTTTGCAGGCCGGCTGGGAAGTGGAGCACTTCGACCTCTGCCACTGGATTTGCTGAAGTGTTATGTGGCTGTGCAGGCGGCCGTAGTTTGATAGAACGCCAGAAACATGAACGCATCAGAAAGGGTTGACATATTTTTCCTAGTGCAAGAAAGGACGCGAGGAATAACTGACATCATCAAAAAAATTTCCCGCACCTCCACCAACAATTGCGATGCATGAATTCCAAAGCGATTCTATTTTTTGCCGAGCACGTGGGCACTCCGTGCTCAGTTTCAGACTTTTTCGCCAACTTCCAAGTGAGCCCACAGTCCCGTTTTCTTTGCTAGCCAATTCGTCGCACCTCGAGATCCAAAGGTTTCTGTATGTTCTGTCCAATAAAGGGGCAAATCTGGATCCTGCAAACTAAGGCTGATGCGCAACGCCAATGCTGCCCGAGCTTCGCTCCACGCTGGTGAGCTCCTGGTTTGCTGAACAGGAAACGCGCAAATAGCAGAAAAAAAGGTTCTCGTGACAAGAACAACGTCGGCACACTGCTTCATTGGCCGCCACCTCCGCTTCCTTTGCTTTCATTGGGTCCTAGATTTCCTTTAGTAAAAACATCGAAAGGCCGTCGCAGGGAGGCTGTTGTTTTCTGTTGGTTCCCACCTGCCAGGTGTGGGCTGTTAGACTTTATCAGAGCTCTTCTCTTCCTCCTGGACTGCTTGCTCCTCGCCACCTGAACAGCACGCGCCAGATCGCAGTGGGCACGACTGGACCTCAACAGCAAGTGCCAGATCGCAGTGGGCAAGTGCCAGATCACAGTGGGCACTACCGGACCTCAACCGCAAGTGCCAAATCGCAGCGGGCACTACAGGACCTCAACTGCAAGTGCCAGCTTGGTTGACGAAAGCCTTGTTCCCGAAACGGTGCAAATTCAGAAACCCTTGCATGCCGTTTCATGTTTTCCATATAACTTACACTAACGGTGAACACTTGTTTTAGGTATGGCTTTGTCCGTTTCACAGCAAAATACACTAGCACATACTTTTGTACCTAAACTGACTAGAGCTGCCGTCGGCACTGCTAGATGAACTGCTCTCTGTACTGCTGCTTTGCTGCGTGTGCTTGAGCTGTTTGCTCTGCCAACTCGTGTGGGCTTTGGCGTTTGTCAAGCGCCGCTCATACTTTGTCTAGGAGCGTTGCGCTCATTTTGTCCTCACACTATTGGGTCTGTCATTTGGGCCGCGCACTACCGGGCACACATTTCATCAATTTCTGATAGCGCGGAGAGCGCGAGCCTAGCGCGAATAGTCTCGAACATTTACCTGGCTTAGCCCTGGCAAAGACGAGGTTTGAAAATGAACAAAGCAAGCAGCTCACTAGGAATAGTGCGACGTGCCAGCCATTTGAAGTTGTGTCCTTGCTCCTGCTAGCCCTGTGAAGCTGCACATCACAGATTAGACATGTGGTCCAAGCAAATGGCTTCCAGCAATCAAGCAGATTCAAAAAAGCACTGGCGCGCCACAAGCGCCACGCTAGCGCCTAGCTTGTGCTTGAGAGTATTCTCTTGCGCGCCGCTTCATAATTTGCTTGTAACATCTATCATCACAAAACTGGTGTTGCCATTCTGTAAAACTCCTTAGCAAGTGCCAGATCGCAGTAGGCACTACCGGACCTCAACGGCAAGCGCCAGATCGCAGTGGGCGCAACCGGACCTCAACCGCAAGCGCCACAGCGGGCACTACCGGACCTCAACACACGACACACAACACAACCACAAACACACCAGACACAATACATATTACAATACACTGCCAACAAAACACAACCACAACACACAAACACCAAACACAAATAGACTAACCACAAACACAACCACAAACACAATCACAACCACAAAAAACACAATCACAACCACAATCACAGCACACAACCACAAACACAGTCACAAACACACAGTCACAAACACACAGCCACAAACACACAACCACAAGCACAGTCACAAGCAATCACAAACAAACACACAGCCACAAACACACAACCACAAGCACAATCACAAACACACAATCACAACCACACAGCCACAAACACACAGCCACAACACAAACACAAAGCCACAAGCACACAACAACAAACCACACAGCCACAAGCACACAACCACGAACACAGCCACAAGCACAGTCACAGCACACAACCACAAACACAGCCACAAGCACAATCACAGCACACAGCCACAACAATCAAACACAGCAACAAAGCAACAACAACTACTACTACTACTGCTACTACTACTACTACATAATTGCCTGTGTGTGTGTGGCGCTTTGTGTGGCAGGTGGTCACAGGGTAGCACTTTTGGATGCCAACTGGAGACCCTGCCGGCACCCCGACGCGAACTCTCAACACTAAAATAACAATCCCAAACTTTCAAACCCTAGGACCCACAAGCAAAATCGAAAACCACAAAACTCAGGACCATGGCAACATGCTCCTCACCATGCTTGAAATGTCATGGTGGGGATCACTCAAAGTAAAGTAATTTGTCTAGTGTAACTTATATTTTCTTATATTAACTTCCAGTGTAGTTGGTGTTGAGGTGGTGTCCCTGGTTTCACCCGCTGCTCAGTTTGTCCACGTCCGTCTCGATTCTGGACTGTTTAAAGTATTGTTGAGTATTCCAATTGCACTGCTTGTCCTAGTGGCTCAGGTTGAAAGGCATTGCAGTTAAGAAAAGGTTGCCTCCACTTCTATCACCGCATTGTATGCTGAGCGAAAGACTAGATTCTCTGGGATGCTAAAAGGATTGGTTCGCTCAAAGAGCGAAGCGTAGGTTTTACATTTGTTGGTGGTGCAGCAATCGAGATCAAGGTTGCGACGACTAGGTTAGACACCTTCAGTTCCCCACACAGCAATGTCAGGTAGTGGATCGGATCTTGGACGCTTGAGCCCAGCAAGTCTATGCCGTCCAAAGCAAATTGTTCTTCATCATTGCGCCCATGTCTGGTGTTGAAATGGTACAAAATTCAGTGGTGCAATGCTGCCTGCTGTCTGTGAGTGGCTACTCGGTGACAACAGTAATTAATGTGTTGTGTGACGGCCAATCAAGGGAAAACCTGACAGTTGTTGCATCAGGAGAAGCTTTGTGACTGGCATCAACCCGGCAACTGAGCTTTGAAACCGCGCCTTTGTCTCGTTGTCACATAAAGCTGTTTTTACTGCCGGATTCCGGATTGCGCTGATGGATCGTCAAGACAAAGGATATGTTTGAGCCTTTACACTCGCCTGGAGGTGCGCGAAGGCTTCGCCGACTGGATGGCCCCATCATGGGAGTCCGCGTTACAAAGCTTCTCGTACGCTGTCCGACAAGTTATGAGTGCTGCAATGATTCAACTGGACCTCGCCGAGGGTTTCTAGCTTTCGAAGGCAATCAGTACTGTTCTGCATCTTGGAACAGATTGCTTTCGTGTGCATTTTTGCAGGCCTTTCGCACCAAAGAGTTGCTCTCGAGGCGGCGTCCTTCCTCTATCGCAAGTCTGGTCTGGATGTTGTGGACACCACAATTTGTACGAGCCTGGGCCAATTAACAATCCCTGACTTCAGCTCTCCAATCTTACCCAAGAGAATGCTGGCAGCTCACAGCAATGGGAAGTCACGTATAGGCAGGATGGGAGTACCGATGATCTGGCTCTTCGTACAATACCACAGATCTTAAATTTTGGCACTCATCACTAAGTCAACTGGCAACTGTGCGAACCGAACAAATGGCGTGGGTCCAGTAAGTAGCTTATTCATGCAGCTCAAGATTTGAAATGATCCACTTGCTCGATCATACCCCAAAGCGAAGTCCACCGAGCAAAAAACGCGTTTGAGGAAATAGCTGAAAGTGCATGTTTCCAAAAGGCAATAGGGATGTCAGGGAAGGGTTCTTTCTTGCTTCGTTATCACGACAATTCTGCAAAGCCTTTGGGGTCAATCTTTCAATCCGAAACGGCTGGGATATCCAAATGAGTGCTCTGGAACACTCTCGTGACAAGGGTACTACACATTCCTGCCGTCCTGTGCGCATCCAGTAAGCGAGCCAATAGCACTTTGCCTATTGTAGAGGACAAAACAAGAAATCTAAGGTTGGTTGAAGGTTGTACCCCAATTGCGGTGCCTGCATCGTTTCCCACTGCCTCTGACACCTTGGCTTGTCAGTCTCGAAAAACTGAGATCGTTCATTCAGTCAAAGCTTGAGGCGTTGGCAACAGGGGCCAAAAGCATCTCTCCAGCTGAAGCCAGCGATTCGTCGAGTTCCTCGTGGTGCAAGTAAGTGAGGCACAAAGAAAGCGCAAATTCTAGACAAATCCTAGCTGCCTTCTTGGTGCTCGATGTGGAACCTGTGTTGGAAGCAAAGAGTCCATCATTTTTGGGCGACAAGTTTGTGTGAAAGCCCATCCACTGCCTCCATGTTGCATGGGAAGCACCTTAAAGCTGCCCCAAACGCTCTCCTTTCTAGTTTCGCCCATTCGCTCAAACTACCATTCCGCATCGTATCAGGCCAGGTATTAACATGACGAAGAGAAACACTATTGGCATCATCAGCAAGTAGCAAGCATTGCAACAAACCCCAGGAGTTTGCTAAAACCAATTCACTTGTACCCCCTTCTGAGCCTTCAACTTCCCATCCCCAAGCCTGTCGACAAAATACAGACCCAGAGATGAGATGTGCTGTGATGTAGTGCGATCAATCAAGAAAGGGCCTCCAATTTGTCGTCTCTGTCTTTGTTGCTCTCCTCTGCTTCACAATCCTTTTCTAACCTCAAGATGGAATGCGTACACTGCGTGTACACGAGTTGAAGAGTGTTCATGCTCACCACGGAGTCTTGAGCGCACATGTTGACTCGAAGTGGAAGTGGAGGGACAGGTGGAAGCGGTGGAAGCTCGTCAAAAAGGTCTAACCTTGACATGTCGATCGTTGAAAGACTGTGTCGCGATTGAACGCTTGAAGCTGCCTTGGAAAATGAAGCAAACCGGAACTGCCGGCTACTCCGAGAATCCAGCAGTTTCAACTTTGCTTCACCATCGATACCCTGCAAACTCTTAAAATCTGGTGAGTGACTCTTGTCAACACTGCTCCTGCATGCACCTTCATGCAAAGAGACACAGGAACAACGAGAAGAGAGAAAAAGAAATGTAAGCTGTGAGAGAGAGAGAGAGAAGCAAAGAGGGCGAGGAGGAAAAGAAGGACTGAAGGAAAGAAGGACAGAACTAAAAACAAGAAGAGATAATTGTTTAAAGAAGGAAACAGGAGACAGGAAGGGAGGGAAGGGAAGAGAAGAGGAAAGAGAAGGGGAAGTGAATGGCAGGAGAAGGGCAAAGGCAAACCAGTGCGACTTGACAGGACAAAAAGAGAGGAAAGCAAGTGCATCGCTTCTAGGAACAAGTGCCTTACTAGTAGTAACAAGAAGCTACTAGGAACAAGTGCCTTACTACTAGTAACAATAATTATTGTTACTACCAGTAAGGCACTTGTTACTACTTGCGATGCACTTGTTCCTACTAGCAAAGGCAAACCAGTGCGACTTGACAGGACAAAAAGAGAGGAAGGGATTGCATAATTGTACGTGACCCCTTGATGGTGAGAGGGTACGTAAGACAAACAACATGGAAAGATCTGGACATGTACCCCTATAGCACAGGCAAAAGGGCACCTTTTGCTCTAGCACTTCCGCAATATCTGCCGACACCAGGCGCTCAGCCTGGCGAGATTTTTGTATTTGGAGTGCTGTGGGAGTGCCTTTTGACCGGAGTGAAGTGGTTTGCGGCTTCATGGGAGCCAGATTGGAAGAAGCCAATCCACACAAGCAGAAACGGAATAAGTCAAGGTTGAAGCAGGGATCATACCCCTGCGACTGCGTCGGCTTGATTCACACCCTCACAAACATTGTTCAGACCTTTCATTCTATTCCTCTAATATCTGAGAACAGCTAGTCACCCAATCTAGGTCCAATGTGGAGGTCACAAACCAATCATCTTGTACCCCAACAATCTTCAAATTGAGAACTACTCTTCTGGCAATCCTCCCTGGGATTCAGAAGCCACAGGCCATGCAATGACAAGATACAACAGCGTCCCACGCCATGAGCAGTCCCATGTCGTGATACGACTCTAGCAACAGCACATGTCCTGGAAGTCACATGTCACATGCAGTCACCTGAGCAAGATCCTCTCGGGCAGAGGACAGGATTTCCAGCAACCTGGAGCAGCAACCCAATGCTGGACCTGTGTCCTCATGTATCCTCTCGAAGCTGAATTATGTATACATAAATTCCTTCTCAGAACTGAGAGACCAGCCCCATCAAGGCATCCCGGAAGGCTTGATTGCCACTGCTCGCACTTGTGCACAGCCTATCAAGCCTAAGAGGAAACGTGTTGCTTCATGTTGCTTCTGCAATCACCAGTCGACCGGATGAAGACAAATGCAAAGAATGAACAACGCAGGCGTGTGGTATTTGAGGAGCTCGGGCCGTTCGAGCACACTTGTTGCTTCTTTTTACAAACAAGCAAATGATGAAGCAATTGTTTTGGCATGCAGGGATTTGAGCCCAGGACAGCGCAATTCCTCTCTTTAGCCGAGCAAGTCTGGTTTCCGGGCCCTTGCTTTGAGCCTGCCACGTTCAGTATGCTCTTGTCCAGTGATACCGTGATCTTCTGGGGGAGCCAGCTGCAAAGAGATATAAACCAAGCCAGTGAGACAAGACTGAAACCAGTCATGCCTGTGATACTGGATCTTGGACTACCTGGCTTGCGGAACCAAGAACCAAGTTCCTTTGCTCCTATGACTTGTGTGATGCATCCCGGATACTCGTACAGAAGCCCTGCAGGGCCCTGCCGGGCCCTGCCGGGCAGGCGCCTGGAACTTGCTTTTCCAATGGATCCGCCACTTGGATGTCCTGAAAGGAACCACACACTGCGAAAGGAAACAACGGAAGGACGAATGGAGACGGTGCTGAGACGGGTCCTTGAGCACAGCAAACGAGGCATACAGCGAAATGAAGGATAGCCGTCTTTGATACCTTCAAATCAAAAGGCACATCAAAAGGCACTGCAAGGCACTGCAAGGCACTGCAAGGATGTTTCTGCGACGTCATTGGATTGGAGCACTCCAAGTTTCGGTGGCCGGATAAACAAAGTCCGCAAGACACCTTGAACACGTAGACAAAGTGGAAACTGACGTAGAAGTAAGTCAGAAGTTGGAAGGATGGTATTACGGTATATGTCACAAGCTCCAGACAATCAGCAGTACCTCGGTATCAACTAGCAACATCAAAGTATTCTAAAAGTTTGCTGGTCAATAACATCTTCGGAGTTCGCATGTCTCAGGAAGGTTCCGCCGTCCAGCCCCACCTGAAATCATCAGGATTTGCCTGGCACAGGGTCTTTTGGCATTCATCCGGCAGACTGGCGAAAGTGTTTGAGCAAGCCTCAGCAACTGTCGAGCTGAATTGCAAGCTTGTCCAGATACAAGAGGTTCATTTACTTCCATTGAAAGAATGGAGGGCAGATGTTGCAGATGGAGGTCAATGTCCCGCCCAGCCTTCGGTGAAGATGCCATGACGATGGAACCTTGGAGGAAATGGAGGAACTGCGAAGAGAAAGTTGATGAACGAGGAGAACTGTTAAAACTGCTAAACTATTAGAACAAACTACAACAACAAATCAAATTGTCGGCAAGATTAGGTTTCTGGCTGGTGCCATAAGCCAAAAGACAGGATAATGCGACCGGGAGTGCGTACAAGAATCGGAGATTGGTCCTTGTATGTGTGAAGGTCTCTCTCAAAGAAGGTGTGGACTTGTGATCTTCTACCAGCAATGATGATGTTCTCAAAACATGCCACACACACACACAAGCATGCCGTGGGGCCTCATTGAGAAGAACATGAGCGTCCCAAGCATTGTTAGAATAAGGTCATAGTCGGTGCTGACCTCCAATTGACCGCGTTCCGGTCGAGTCCAGTTTTTGCTGAGTTTCATCATGTTTCATCTGTGTGCGGCAAAGCAACTGTTGGGAACTCCTGAAAAGGATCGACATCCCACAAGGCAGCAAGCCGCCTCCCAAAAAATCCGATCTCAAAAGAGTTGAAACAGCCAACTTGGAAGCTGAATTCAACTCCTCTTTTTCTGTTTCTTGCTTGTTTTCTCTATTTTTGTGTTCTTCGTTCTTTTAGCCCGCACTTACTTGAATATATAAGTAAGGGATAGTAAGGGCGACTAGTTCGCTCCTAGCTAGGACGCAGGATAGTTCACGTTTCTCAAAGGAAGCTCGGGGGCACCTTCCTGGAAGAAGCGCTCGCACTAATCATTTGGTTCCTGGATTTTTTTCACCAAAAAAGTGTGGACACACTAGGGGTTCTTACGGTAGGTGTTAAGCAACTGATGCTTAGATCGCTGAAGCGCGCGGGCGTGTGCGGCTAATGCGCTGCTATTTACAGTACATTCATGTCTCTCAACATCGTCAATGTGCATTTCGACTGCGCAGGCTCACAAAATCTGCCTGCCCGCGCGGGTGCTTCTAGCGACTGCGCTCTCGTTGTGGTGCCGGGCGCATTTTCGCACATGGTGGTCACTTTTCGTGGCAGGCGCAAGGGAAACCTCGTGCTTTGGTGCTCCAAAGTCGACTTTCCGTGACAAGTGCAAGGGATCGGAGCTGCTTTACTTTGAAATGCAGTTTTCGTGGCAGGTGCAGCATGTGGTGGTGATCGTCGAGGAGCTCAGATTTCGTGACAGGTGCAGTGAATCGGGACTTTTGGACATGTGGCTCGTTTGCAGATTTCGTGGCAGGCACAGCACTCTGTGATCCTCGATGTGCAGATTTCGTGGCAGGTGCTGCACTTTGAGCACTTTGTGAACCTCGAAGTGCAGATTTCGTGGCAGGCACAGCACTTGGTGAACCTCGAAGTGTAGATTTCGTGGCAGGCACAGCACTTGGTGAACCTCGAAGTGCAGATTTCGGCACAGGCGCAGCACTTTGTGCTCTCAGATGCTCAAGCACTCGCTCACTCTCACTCTCACTCTCACTCTCACCCTCACTCTCACTCACTCACACACGCTCACACTCACACTCACTCTTCACTCACACTCACATTCACACTCACACTCACTCACACTCACATTCACATTCCACACTCATTCACACTCACACTCATTCACACTCTTTCACACTCACATTCACATTCACATTCAATGCACACTCACACTCACACTCACTCACACTCACACCCACACTCACTCACACTCACTCTCACCCGCACTCACTCTCCCACTCTCACTCTCACTCACACTCACCCTCACTCTCACTCTCACTCACACTCTCACTCTCCCACTCTCACTCTCACTCACACTCCCTCTCACTCTCACTCTCACTGACGCTCACTCTCATCCACACCCACTCTCATTCACACTCACTCTCACCCACACTCACTCATCCACCTTCACTCTCACTCACACTCGCACTCACTCACACTCACACTCTCGCTCTCACTCTCATTCACACTCACTCTCACTCACACTCACACTCACACACACACTCACACTCACTCTCACTCTCGCTCTCACTCACACTCGCACTCACTCACAGTCACAGTCACAGTCACAGTCACACTCACTCTCACTCTCACTCTCACCCTCACTCACACTCACTCACTCACTCGCCACCGCCGCCACCGTCACTACGATCCCCACCTTCATCACCACCATCACTCCTCTGGACCCCAATGCGTCTAGATCTCTAGACTTTCTGCTTATAGACCTCACACACACACACTGTTTGGGGTCTCTTGCCGGGATTATTTAAAACTTAGCTTTCTTGAGATCGTGACTCGGATACAGCAGGTGTGGCACCAACCAAACCGGATCATTCATCGACTTGGCGCTTTGCAGGTGTGGATTTGGATGCTGGTCAATCGGAGCAAAGACAGCAAAATGTTGCAGATACGCTGTCATCGAGAAATTCAATATAGATCAATATATAGTAATATCATGCGCCGGACGTTTACTTCCTCTCTTGGTTGCGCCTGCGATTTGCAAAGAAGCAGCACAGCCACGGAGTGACCTAAGCTCTAGAACAATGAGCGACACGTTGTGAATCCTCTGATTCATGGGTGCATGCTAAATTGAAGTGACATTCCTACTGCACAAAAATCGCTGCGTGGCATGTGGAATAGTCCTAGGGCCCCTGCTACAGCCCAAAGGCAAAGCACCTGCTCTGCTTGGATGGCCTCGAAATGACTTGGGTCAGAAGCTGACCCCTCAACAAACCGGTCGAACTGAGCCTCTCGATCGAATTCCGCCTCTGCCTGCCCAAATGAAGCAAAGCAGAGGTGGGTCAGCTGGAGATTGGAGATCAGTGAATTCACAGGCCACCATCATCGCCTTTGCAGCTTCCAGCTTGGAGGCCTGGAGAGGAAGCACCGACCGGGTCCATGGCACATTTGCTCAGCTGAAAACTGGCCTTGTCTTGCTCGCCGGTACCTCAAAGTTCTTCAGTCATGCAACTCTTTTCACTTCAGAACTTTCGAACCAAAAACAACCCCTCGAAGCAAAGCCTTTGAGAAAACCACTCATTTCTGACTGATGCCACCAAGTCATTGGATGCAGCCAGCAAGTGTGAGTACAGTATATAGTATATACCCGACCCTTCCTCGTTCGATTGGACAATTGCTTTTTCCGAACTGCCCAGAGAAAGGAAAATTAAATAGCAAGACTTGAAGCGAGCCCTTTATGCTGGTTCGACACCGATATGAAGCTTAGGTTGAATCGCAGCTTGTTCCAGTGATATGAAATGATGGTCTTCATGTCCGGTGTTTTGGAATTAGATCGAGTCTGCTGCAGAGAAGGGTACCACAGTGTTCGTTGTGGCTTCATAGATCCCATCTGGCACTACCCTACCACTCTGATCACTGCTGAGCTGAGAACTCTCTGCGTTTCTGGCAGCCCATGCTACTCGTAATGCCTTCAAGCGATCAACTGACTTAAACGAAAGCTCTCGCTGCGTGGCGTTCCTCTAACCCGAGCAGAGCCTTCCTTTTCCGTCTCCAGAGCCAAAGTGCTATGGCCTGACAAGTTGCAGCAGCTGTTCAGAGCTTGGCTGGAAAAAAATAAGGACTGCAGAGTTCTTGGTCAAAGACAAGCTGGTGAACAGTGAGAAGCTTAGACCCATGCGCTGAACATAAGCAAAGAACCAAAGAATATTGTTAGCCAGGCCAGATTGTTCACCTGATTCACATACCGAAAGTCCCAGGAGTGCACCAATTCTCCGGCCAAACGTGAAGCTTCACTCCCTGGGTTGCAAGCAACCTGGATGCCTTGTTCCCAGTGAATCAGCGACCTGGTCACTTCACAGTGTGTCAGTGCATCATGATGTGTCGATATCGAAGAAAGCAAATCAGCAAGCAAAGTCTCAAGAAACAACATTTCCACAGTGCCCCTAGACTTCTTCCAGCGGTTCTGTGTGCTTTTCGCTTGTCGATCTATTGAATCTATTGGAAAGAATGTTGTGCTCGCAAATCTTTGCAATGCAATGCAATGCGCATAAGGTTCAGGCGGCTCCCAACGGAAGTTCTCTGTCAAGAGTGCCCACAAGGAGTAGGCTGGAGACATTCCAAACAAGCCAAACCATGAAGTGCGTGCTTGAAACGAATGTGTGCGGAAGAAGGAACCAATCAAAAGGACATAAGAAACCACAAAAGATCGCAGGGACAGGATAAAGCCAACCGGAGCTTCTGTTCCAAGAATATGAACACAAACAGGTACTGCAGCAACCAAAAATGTACAGTCACCGTGACATGAAACAGCAACAAAGGCCGCACCTGCAACTGGGAGTGCTAAGACTTGTGCTTGACGAAGAGTGACTGGAGCATAGTGAGAAACATAGGCAGCCTTGTCCGCATCAAAATCAATCTAAATTTAAGTCAAACATAAACTTTTTGATTTTCGCATTTGAGTTTGTCAGGCAAGATCGAAAGTGCGACTCTAACAGCCTCCACCCGTGAGTCATGGAATCTCAAGAAGATATTCAAGCGAGCATCACGGCGTTGGTCCTACAAAGTGTTGCATTTTGTGTCCATTGGTCATTGTAAGTGAAGCATCCGGTCTGTTTAAAAAGTGAAGCACCTGGAAGAGGTCGTCCAACCATTGATGAAAGCCCATGAGCTCTGCACTTGTACTTTCCAATCCTTGGCTCACACTCTAAGCTTACAAAACATTTGCTATCGCGGTCGCTAGCCGCAGCTAGCCGCCAGCCGCCGCCAGCCATTTGTTGATGACACGGGCACCATGCTTCGAACAGCTTCTGCATTGAAGCAGGTGTCCTTTAGAGTACAAGAAGTCTGGTGAAACCTACGACATTATGCCCATGATTCTTCCTTGGCCTGCCAAAACAAGCTCCTGAATCACACGGATCGAAGCCCATTAGACTTCATGCGCTGCCGAACTTGAAAGCAAATTAGATGCTACAGGGATATACAGGGTTATCCAAAGCTCAATTGTGCTATTGGAACTTATCACAACGTGTCTGAGTAGCTTCGATCTATTCACTAATTCGAAGCTTCCCATGAGAAGGCTCTCTCGCAACTCCACAAAAACACGAGAAGCTGCTCCGCAGCTCTCCAGGCCTTCGGTAGGCATCTCAATCTATATGGATGATGAGATCTGACAGAATCTTGAAACCAAACATGCAAAACGTATTGAAACGTACAGCTTTGAGGCTTTTAAGTGCAAATCAACAAAAGCTCCTACCGTTCGTTCGGAAAAGTAGTATTGACTCAGGCAAACTCCGCAAAGACTTGGCCGGCGGAGGATATGCCAATTGGTCGCAAATTGCGACCCTATCTAGCGACTCTTCAGGATTCAGTTCAGCCAAAAGAAATTGTATTTCAGGATGGTTGTGTATTATTTGTCCTATTATGTGAGGCCACAACATCATAAAGAAAGCAATCAACTGAGCCTGAAGGGCTAGCAAATTAAGGAAGGTCAAGGGCTGGCCCTCATTTCACCTTCATTGAGGGTGGAGTCCTTTCCTTCACAGATGGTACAGTAGGAGTTGCGTGGGCCTTCCTAGCTGCATCACAGTCTGGTACCTCTTCCCATCCAGCGCTTCGCTCCACCTGCGCCTGGAGGCAGTTATATCGGAGTTTAATGAGCCTATATTTGGAGTGAATTCTAGTAAGACCGTCTCACTCCGGCAAGAGAACAATCTAGCGAGAACACAAAGTCTATGTTTATCAGTTAGCCACGTTTGTGATTTGTAATATCTACCAGAGTCATGCAGTCTACTCACTCATGCACATGGTCAAGCAAGGCATGTCAATGTGAACTAGCGCCACAGGAGGAGTGCTCGAGTGCTCCAGGAACAATGGAGTGCAAGAAATGCTGCTGGTTAGGCGGACGCTACTTGTGCAAAGTCAATCCTCTGCATGGGAATGCAACAACGGATCTGTTGAATAAAAGGCTTTGGTTGGGAGCCCTTGTGAGAGGCCTGCACAGCTTGGTGCGTGTCCAAAGGGTAAACCATCTCCAACCCAAATGTGGCGTTGATAAGTTGTCCGCTTTCGCAAACTATCCCTGGTCAGCTCCATACCAAGTCGAATCGATTTTGACTTGACCCACCTGCACATTAGCACCTTGCTAAATATGAAAACTAAAGACTTGTGTACAAATGACACCATAGCTTCCCGGATTTGGCAGGCCTTGCTCATAGAAGCACGTGTTCCCGGATTGCTGTAAAGAAAGTTCATGAACTCATTCAAGTCTACTTCGCCACTCCTTAGTTGAAACAGGCAGGCGCAGTGTTCCATCAATCTCCAGAATGAACACAGCATCCCTTCTGGAAGCGACAAATCATTGTTGTTCTATATATATCAATATATATAACTATATACACTACGTTTTTTCCAACCCCCAACATCCCCCCACACTGCACAGGACAAGGATCTGATCACCATCCAGCTCTTGAAAAATAGAGTCCAAGTGTGCCTCTGAAATTTGAGGCATAGCTTTTCTCAGGACGGTTGCCAGTTCTAACCGCGACAGCTTGCCGTTGCCATCCGTATCCCAGATTCTGAAAGTCGCTGAGATTGCGCCTGAGGGTGTGGATGACTTGTCCAGAAGCTTCGAAGCCAAATCTTGCTGCCCATCTGACAAGATCCATCGATGAAACTCTTCAAAGCTGACCTTTCCATCCAAATCCTTGTCTATTGCTTTGTGCATTGCATCCAGCTCCTTGCTGGTCATATCAGGATTCAAACGCCTCATCATGAGAGCAAGTTCTGCTTTGCTGATTACACCGCTGCGGTCTTTGTCCGCAGCTGCAAAATTGTGCTGGATAAGCAAGGATCGAATCTCTTCTGCATTTTTGCGAACTGTGGGAGGCGGCAACCACTGTACTTGGCCTGTTTCAGAGTTCGCGTAGTACGTACGGCCCGCGTCATCCTTGTGGGCCGACCATCCTTGTGGCAACTCACGTGGCACCAGAGTGCTGCCCTTTCGCGGCTCCAAGGTGCTGGGCATTGTTTCTAAGTCTAAGCCAAGCACAATACGTATGACAACAAAATCTAAATCATGTGACATCAAGCGCAAGGCACCACAAAATGGCTATATATTTGGTTGCACCTGCAAAGTGACATGGACAGGCATGCTGTCTCATCTCTCAAACCAACATGCATGACGGTGGCGTGGGAATGAAAGGTTCTTTGTCCCTTCCTGCCAAAGCTGAAGTCCGTCTGGTGGCATGTATGAGCAAGTCCAAAGCAAGTGCGGTTGTATTTGAAACTATGGGTGTAAAGTGTACACTTGAACACTTGGTTTACACCGTATCATCAGAACTCGACAAACGTGCACTTCTGCAAGCCAATTCTACCAAGCTGAGAGCCAAACGAGCGAGACTGTTCTCTTCAGGGTCCTCTTCCTCCTGTTCCGACAACAGCGATTCCTCTGTGAAGTACTTTTTTGGAACTTGGAGCATCCAAAAAAGACAAAAGAAAAAGGAAGAAAGGTGGAGGAAAAAAGGACGATGAAAAATGAAAGAAAAGCACTCGCATTCCCATTCCAAGAGCTTTGACATGCTTTGTCTGTAGCCCCAGGTTTTGCCAATGCCACCAAAAGCACCTCCTCTGGCACTTCGCTTGCATCCAAACGATTCAATAGGTCAGAAGCGTCCTGCAAATCCCGTGCTGTCAGTGAGTTGCGGCTGCCCAATCCGTGCCCAGATTTGTGCGCACAATCGGCTTCGCTCCTGTGGTTCAGCTGCAACTTGCTCATCACCCTGGCCTGTCTGACACACCAAAACAGTCGTGTCGAAGCGTCTCCATAGGAAACACGCTTCTTGGGCCTTGCTGCATGTCGTCTTCATTCTGGTTCCCCGCCTAAATGAGGAGCTGGAAGCTCAAAAGAATGTCTAGCGTCTTACAGTAGCGTGATGAGTTGTCATCGAGGCGTCGTCAGCTGAGCCGCACACAACCCAATTTCCTAAAGGCCGGCCAGCATCCCTCTCTCCTGAATCAACGGTTTCAGGTTTCATAATCGTCGCATTGAAGCAATGGTTGCTTGCACATTTGTCCATGGCCTCCATGCTTCACGTGCATCAAATAAGACCTCACAAAAGACACGAGTCTCAAACAAATGTGTGTTTGTGCACTTTGTGTCATGTTGTGTCTTTGTGTTGTTTGGATGTTCCTCGACTTTGTCTCTCCGCCAGACCTGAATCTAGAGAATGAGATGACTCCATCACCCCCCTGAGACTTCTTCCATGACCTCAGGGGCAAAGACACAAAGTGGCACGAAGTGGGCCAGTAACCTACAGACTGGGCACCTCATCCACTGTATGGCCATCAGGAAGCACATCTGACACAAGCATAGCTCCATCACCTAGCAGAAGCTCAGCTCCAACAAAGACAGGTTGATGAAGATGGAATCACTTGATTGATACCAAATCAAAGTCCACGACTAGACATTAAAAGTTATGTTTTAAACATGTGTTGCGTAAGCACTGAAGAAGCATTGCGATTCCTTTTGTGACGTCCTGTGCCTGAAAGAAGACGCCTGAGTTCTTCCATGTTGATGTAGCCATCCCCATCGTGATCAAAGGTGCTGAACCTAGGACCGTTGAAAAACACACATCTTATCTTGTTAGAAAATGCTGCTCAGGAACGCATATCGCATCAAGCGATCCCCACGCTCCTGGCACAACCAACACCAGTTTAACCATCGATCAAAACAATCATGCCAAACGAAGGAGCCAGTGGTCGACTCCCAGAGCCTCTTCCAAGTCTAAGGTTGCCCCCAAGAACTCTGTATAGGAGATCTGGCCATCCTCAACTCTTTAGCGAGCTTGGACGAAAGCAAAGCAAGGGCAAACAGGGCAGCACAAGAAAACGGACTGGCAACTAGCCCAGTCCTGATCCAGATCCATGGACGCCATCAAGGCATTCAAATCCTATGAAGCGTTGGCGGTTAAACCCTTCAACACAAGTGTTTTTTGTAAAGCCCGCTCCTACTTAATTAGGGAGAAGTAAGCTACTAGCTACTTAAGCTACTACATATGGATACAGCATAGCTCACGCTTCTTCAAGGAAGCTCCCCCGCCTGAGCGCACTGATGATTTGGTTCCTAGATTCTTAGGGAAACTGAACATAAAGCCACAGGTCTGAAACTTGTCGGCCTGGCGAAGACCCTTTGCCAGGGATCGAAGCTCATCTTGATCGAGTTGGCCCGACTTGTCAGCATCGAGCGCCTGGAACAACTGATAGTCTTCGGTCAACTCTTTCATACCCAGCGCCGCAGCCATGCTGAAGGTGACCTGAGTTTTTGTCACTAGGTCACTAGGAAGTAAAGTTTAATCTGCCGATGTTTGTGGTTAAGAAGTGTTAGTATCAAGCCAAGGGCTGGCGGAAAACAACTGGCGCTTTACCACCGTGCTCTTGTTGCGGAGCCCGGAACAAGCTTGGAACAAACCGGTAAGACTCGTAAGACTGCAATCGTAACCAATGAGGCCCTGGCAGCTCGGTGAAAATAGCTGGTGTGGCGTCCAAGATTCTTCGGCAAAATGGTGTTCACTGAAGAATATTCAGCTGAAGTGTTCACTTGTTGAAGCCATTCGTGCTCAAAGCATTGTCTGGCCGACATTCGACTCTGCGGATTCTTGTCCATGAGGGAACGAACCAGGGAGCAAGCAGCCGGTGGTATTTTGTCGAAGGCGGGCTCTGTATTTGCAACCTGACAGTAGAGGACAAATATGTTGTTGGTCCCTCTGAATGGCCTGGTGCCAACGAGCATCTCGAAAAGCATCACTCCCAGTGCCCAAGTATCACTCTTTTGTGTCAGCTTACCATCGAACCCTTCAGGTGAGAGGTAAGCTGGGCTGCCTTTGACTGTAGCAGGCCCGCCAAGAGCCGCCTGCTCATCAAAAATTTCTGCCAACCCAAAGTCAACCAAGAGGACATGCGGCTTGGATCGTCCAGCTAAGGCATCCGCAAGAACAAAAGGTGTCAGCAGCATGGTGTTGCCAGGCTTCAGATCACAGTGGATGACCCCACGTGAGTGCATGTAGTCCAAAGCAGAGGCAACTTGCAAAGCTGCCATTTGAACCCAAATATGAGGCAACATTGCATCTGAGTCCAAGGTCTCCCGTATCACCGATGCCAAATCTCCACCTGGCCGGAACGATCGCAGAAAATCAAAGCCGAATTTAGGCAGGCCCTCCCCGCCGACCTTCGGCATAATCCATGACAATATGCAAAGACTCGGTGCTTTCAAAGGCCTCACCACGTGGCCAAATCTTCTGACTAAGACTAGAGGAATCAATGTTTGGAGCTGCTCTTTGCACCTCGAAAACACGAACAATATGAGGATGATCCAGAGACTTGAGCATGTTGACCTGCAAGCATGCTCAAGCATGTTCAAGCTGGCTGAGAGCTTTTTTGTCGAATGTCCGGCCTCATCCTCCACTTGCTCTCCAGCGACACTGAGTTGGCTCTTTGGCACCTCATGTGGGATGATACTAGTAGCTGTCCTCCAAAGACCCCAGAGTGCGCACAGCTTTTGAGAGTTACTCTACATTAGATAAGTGCCCTGCTGATTTCACCACACGGGCAACTCCTCAGTCTGTCAGCCCAATGTTCCAATAGTCGTAAATCAAATATGTTCATTTCAGACCATCAGTGGGGCAGTGTATGTATAAGCTCCCAACCTAAAGAAGCATGCAGCGCCAAAAAGACTTCACCGTATGAGCCCTCACCAAGACATGCTAGAAGTCCAAGAAAGTTTGGGTGTGCGCTTGTCACAAAGATTTCTCTATGTCTGATCCGACAACAAATTACGAGTTGATGCAACTCAAAAATCCACCCATGTTCGGAACTCAATCCAATTGCTGCAATGCCTGCACTTGGCATGGCCAAATCAGCAACCAACAACACAAACAGAGTACAGAAGTTTCCTGGCTGTCACTTTCTGTACAAACACGACAAATGCGGTTGGCGGTGGAGTGGCAATGAGATCGATCCCTGGCACAGATAGCCTCTCCGAGCTTTGCACCTTTGAGGTAAACCTGCAACAAACAGACACGGTGAGAGACGTGTGTCCACAAGGTCCTCTGTGTCTTTCACCCGAACACGTCGTTAGATTGGACCTTGTTCCAGTCGTCGCCATGACGAGTGTGCACTAAACACTGCCGAGAGACCTGCCACGGGTGCAAAAGGCAAAACCAGACGGAATGCAACACGAAGTCATGAGCACAGTCACCGCGCTGAAACACTGCGTGCAGCAGTCGTTTTTTGGCTCGCGGGTGAAAAGCTGCGCAGACGCGCAGGTACGCGTTATCGGTGCTCTTGGCTTGTGAGACATACTACCCAGTGAAACCTTGGCAAAAGTGATGTGCGTCTGGTTGATGTCAAAGCCGTTTCCCCATTGAGGGAAGGGTCATCATGCAGGAAGACGCAATCTTCTCATCAGGCTTCCTTACACTCTGCAGAGTCAAGTCGGCTGAAAAACTTCAATTGTATATATACTGGGTTATATATCAGGTCTAACTTGGAAGACTGCAAAGCGCTTTCCGTAGCTGGACGGCACTCTGACTCTGAACATGTCGCTTGGCCCTGGATGATATGCATCCATGGGTGATCATCCTAGGATGGGCTTCGCGGCTTCGCTGTTGAGTATGAACCATATCGCGATTCTGTGGAGTATAGATAGTTTGCTATTTACACACTCCAGTGTAAAGTGTCCATTTTGGTGCTGACTTCCCGTTGGCTCCTTCAAACTCTTCCCCTTGCCCTCTTTCCCTTTCACTCCGCTGGCTCATTGCCTCTTGTCTCTAAAAAAAAAAGTGTATCCTTAGTCCTGTATTCTGTTCATTTACCTTCAATTTTCTCTGCTTTCTTCAAGTACATCTCCATCATTTGCATTGTTTTTTGCAGTGCAAATTGTAGCTTGCATATAATATACATTGTAGTTTCATTGCCATTATATATATTGTATAATATAATATGTCAAGGACAGAAGACCTTGCGTAGATCAAGAGAGTTTCTGCATGCCAAACAGCAGGCTCAGCTCGCAGGCTCTCGTGCCTGTCCTGACTATTGCTGGTTCGCATCCGTTCCCATTGAATGGAAAGCACATACTGTAGCTGCCTCGCCTTCTCGGAGGGTGTAAGGTATGTACATTTGCGCATCAAGTTCTGAAGGGAAGAGAGCAAGAAGAACAAAAGGGCCGCACGAAGACAGGAAGCTTGTGGAAGCATGTTCACTCTGGTGGTGCTTCGGAGACCAACTCGAAGTACCGATAGACAAGTGAAATGCAGGTTGCGGCCCCAGAAAACGATTGGTTTGCTGCAGCCCGCCCTCATCGGTTGAACACGGAAAAGGAAGTGATTCTCTGTCTACTTAGCAGCAAGCTTCGAAATCTCCAAGTTTTACAGTCAGTAGATGATCAAAGTTGCTGAAACAAAGTATACCTACGGACTGTAAGATAGAATGCCTACTTCTTTTTCAACATGTTTATCATGGTAAGTTAGAGTGCTACTATGCACAGATAGAATGCCATGTGAAATCTGCAGGTAAACATCACGATGACAAAGAAAAGGGCACACTTTGAATGCCACAGTTTTACAGATATACAAACAAAAGGAAAGGACACGGAAGAGGAAAAAGGAACAGGACACAATTGATAAAGAACAAGACATGGAAGCAGAAAGGAAAAGAAACAGGAGAGGAAACAGAAGAGGAAAGAGAAAGCAAAAGGACAAGGAAAAGGATAAAGGCACAAGGAATAGGAAAGGAAAAGGAAATGAGACAGGAAAAGGAAAAAGGCAAAACGAGGGAACAAGGAAAAGGAAACGATTGCTAAGACGGGGACATGGCAGTAGAAAGCAGAAGGAAGGGGAAGGAAATAGAAAATAGAAAAAAGGACAGGACACCGAATATATATATATATATATATATTCGATGAACCTCGATCAACATATGTCGACTGCTGCTACCCTTTTCTGCGAATCGATTCAGGTCTGTACTGTCTGTACTGAAGTGCTTTGGTTTGAAATGCGACCCACGTCGCTTGTGTCATCTGACATCTGACACTCTCCCTGTGGGAGCACTCCATCCGTATGTAGTGACCGAGAGGATACCGCAGGGGCGGTCCTACGGCCACAACGGATGCCAGCTCTGGACAGAGCAAAATGAAAAGATTAAATGAAACTCCCTAGTCATCGTCAATACCTGGGACCGGCAGAACAGGTATGATGGCTAGGCGGCGGGCAGCCGAAAATGGACAACCGGACGGCAGCGGCAGACAGCACAGTCTCAGTCTTTCATGGCCGGCAGCCCAGGCTGCAAGCGTAGCAAGCATAGCCATGGTAACTGAAAGTAACCCAAAACACGGCCCTCAAGCACCAGCAAGGCCACCGGTGAAGTGACTATCACCAGGAAACCAGACTCTTCCGGCAACAAGCCAAGTCAGCCACCAGCTCGACCAGCACCAGGTGGACGTGGAAGTAACTAACAGGGTGTGGCAGGGTGGGAGAAAAAGTTTAGCTTGAGGTACCAGCAGCGACACTGCTCCTCAAGGGGCGTCTCCCCAGTTTGGCTTGAGCATTCAAACATTGGGAGACGTTGATTCGAAGCTTCCCAAATAATTCATCATCACCGACCCTGCCTACCTTAAATGATTGAATATATTCGATGAACCTCGATCAACATATGTCGACTGCTGCTACCCT